AATAGAATTTTATGACTTTTGAGTAAAACATTACTGATTTTTTTTACTATGCTTTGTTTTCCCAATTTAAACATTTGACTTTCTTTTGAGTTGTTGATAGGTTCAGCAATTTGTTAAAACATTTTTCTTGATTGTTTCTTCAAATGGAAACATAAACTTGTCTTCCTTCCTGACCCCTCTTGAATTGGAAATATTTGGGAGTATTCTTGTCTTGTAGCAGAAGGATTATTTGCATAAATTCAGTAATGCTTGTTGCGTTGAATCAGAAATTGGAAATACTCATTATTGAACAGGGCTTTGACTAGAACGTCATACCTGAAGATTAATCAGAAAACTATGAAACTAAGGTGGATCTCAAGTAAGCCAACAGAAGCTCTTAGAAAGATGGCCTGGCACCATAAATAGTTCTGCCTAGCAGAGAGGATTAGAGAAGATATATGAAAGAATTTATAACACAAAATAACCTGGACTTTTCCAGCCCAGCATTGAAATCAATAGGAATTGCAAAAGAGCAACCACATCAGAGGATTATCTTGAGAAAGACTTTGAAGGAAGAAAAAGAGACTGATCTTTGCTAGCAGATGGTATATCACAGAATACATGGTAGGCAGGGCTGAATGGAGAAGGTTTATGTGTGACTAGTGTTTGCTTTTCAACAATTTGAGTAGTTGACATGTAAATATTTTCTCAAAAATACTTAAAACCATACTGTCTCTGTTGTTATAGAGTCACAAACAAAATTATAAGAAATATTTTGAACATTATCTTTAAAATTAAGTATTCTAAAATTTTCAAAGTTGTTTATTAACTGTCAAGAACAATGGAGTATGAGCAAAAGTTTTTTTATATGTAAAGTAAATGTAGAAAAAGGTAAAAATAAATAAATAAATGGAAATAAATAAATAAAATAATTTTCTTAGAAATAAAAAAATAAGAACATGCAGAATGTGCAGCACATCCCATTGTCTTTGGACAGAGCATGTGGCTGGTGAAGGATGTCTTCATTTCTACCACTGAGAGGGATATGTACACCAGGGACCCACTCAGGATCTGCATCATGACCAAAGAGAACATCAGGAAGGAGACCGTCCCCCTGAGAAAGGACGGATTTGTGGGCAGTTGCTGTCAACTAGTTTAAAATTGGTTAATTTTGTACCTCACAACTGTTGGACAAATTTATTCTATTAAAAAAGACACCTGGGGCACTCGCTTTACTACACTGTGCCCTCTCTAAGCAAGATGAAGCAATGAGTGGGACTGCTTGCAAGGATGTGGAGAAATTAAAAGCCTTGTATGCTGTTAATAGAAATATAAGGGACCTGGGACCAGCAGTTAGCATAATGGCTATGTTGCCAGACTCCCATGTAGTCAACCACAGTTTGAGTCCTGGATCCAGTGGCTTAAACTCACACCAGGTATGTGTGCATGCATGCCCAAGA